AGGTCAAAGTGGCTACTCTAAAGCAAATTGCCCAAGGACTAGCTATTCGGTGGGAGAAAGGCCTCCTGGAGAGCCTACCACCTAGAGGTCCACTTCCATTTTGTTTGGAGGTGAAGGCTGGGCAGACACACCCCTGGGTCCAGGAAAGAGGAAGACACCTTTACTTTCCTCAGTACACTGCTGGTCCCATATCCTGAAACCTGCTCCTCATTCCTCTCTGGCCCAGGCAGCAGTGTGGCCAGAAGGGAGCAGAGGGAATGAGACAAGGCTGCTGGCTGCAGCAAAGGGATCTGTGCTGAACTCACAGCACCACCCCCGAGCCATCTGGTGCCCTGGCCCTTGCCGGAAAGCAGTGGGATGCAGGCAGGAGAGAGAGAGGCTCAGAGCCCCTGCATTTTCTCCCTCCCTTCTCCACGCCGCCCACTCTGGGAAACTGTGTAGGCTCATGGCTTGCCATTGGGTAGCAATAGGGGATGGTATGGGTTAAACATCCTTGGCTTGGCCTCAGCAAAGTCCAGACCTTGGAATGGGTGAGGGAAGACCACGCTTACTCCTCTGTAGTTTTCCTAGAGAGGCTTATAAGTAATTCTGACTAGAGCAAGGGTGGTGGGAGGCAGATGGACCACCTTGGCCTGGAAGGCTGGGGATGGGGTGGCAGCCCTGCTGCTCCCCACAGGGGCAGAGGGTGGGCCCTTTCACTCTAGATGGTGCTCTGGGAGGATTCAGCTGATCAGACTGGAGGCTCGGGCATGCAGGCAACGCTGCCTCTGTACCACACTCACTCCTGGGATGCCGCTCTGAGGATGAGGACAGACTGGCATCTGGGGGAGCTCCAGGCTAGGATGTGCTTCTGGGGATGCTCTGAGTGGGGCATGGAAGCCCCTGAGAGGCCTATAGAAGCAGGCTGTGCCTGCCCCAGGCCATGGTTCATATTCCCCAGCAACTCACTCTCATCCCCACTGCCCACCCCAACTGCACCTTCCCATCTTCTACTTAGCAGGCTCAGGCCCATGCCTTGTCTCCCACTCCCAGCTGTTGGAATAGAAGCCCAACAAGGGCAACACGGGCCAACTTTCTGGTGCAGAAAGGGGTGGCGGGCCTACATGTAAGTCACTAAAGAATGGAGAGGTGAACTCACAGGCCTGAGCAGGCATGGGCATTAGCAAAACCACCGACGCCAATCCCTGAATTCCTCCTTTTCCTTCAGAGAAATCTGACATTCAAGAAATTCAAGTACTTGTCTAAAACCCCACATCTATAGAGAGAAAAGGAGAATGGTCTTCCTGCCTTCTCCTCACCAGTGAGGACTGAATGCTAACACCTCTGGCCCCCTGGCATCAGTGCATTGTCAGAGGGAGGATCTCTTGTGAGTGGTGAGAAATGTTGAGGCCTCAAACAGAAACACCCAGTCTTTCTCTGTGGTTTCGGACAGGTTAGATTACTCACTTACCCTGAGCTACCAGGACTGGGGAAATCCGGAAAGAAATGGCCCCCACCAAGAAGAGTATCTGGGACTGCCCTATTTGTTCTGAACCAGCTTCAGCCTGAGCAAAATGGACTATGAATGGGGAAAATGAGGCTGCATATCCCTGGGAGAAAGCTGGAGACCAAGCCACTGGTCTAGGTCCACAGCTCTTTTGCTCCAGAATAACCCAGAATAAGCCAAGACTTTCTAAGACTCAGTCTCCTCATCTGTAAACAGGGACTGTGCTCTGAGCTCCTTCCCCAATTTCCATGCAGTCTCAACATGCTCCAGGCTCTCAGAAACCCACCAAACTACATGGGCAGGCTTCCTCCTCTCTGTTGGATGGGCAGAATGGTGAGTACCATGTCAGTCTGTGTGAGTGTAGTAGCCCTCCAGCAGCCTAGGGCTGATAGGGGAAACTTGGGTCCACTGGCCAGAAAAACAGTGATTCCAGATCTCAGACACTGCTTCTAGCCAAATGGGGCTAACTGTGTGTGATTCCCATCTCCAGACCTGGTCTGCTGTTTCTGCAGTACTCAGCTAAAGTAATAACTCTGACTGATGCCATCATACACAAAAACAAAAACACCAAGTCCTGGTGACCACTGCCCAGTGGGGCCAAGTTCTTTCCCTCCTTTCTGTGCATTTGTCCTCATGCAGCCATTCGGCACAACTGTTCAATCACACTCCAGATCTATGCAGCAGCTTGAGTTCCACACCAGCCAGTGAGTCTCTATTAGTGACACACATGAACAAAGTTCCATTTTCTGTGGTCACATTTCAAAGTTCCAAGCAGTTTCACTAGTGGTCTTGGAGAGGCCCTGAAAGCCTCCATGTCATTTTTGTGGCCCACGTCCTTCTCTGGGACTGCTATATCCCTCTGTCCACTGGAAAGTTGAGGAACAACGCATCCTGCTGACACGCCCTGGACACAGCACCCAGGCTGCCGGACCTCCTCAACCAGGCTCAGAGTGACTACACTAGCAGCTCCAGGCACACTCCCCAGTCCACACAGGGTCCCCAGGACACTCTCCAGTGGCCAGTGTCTGCAGTGCATCTGCGCTGGGACTGGCAGTACCCCTATCTTTTTCTACTCTGATTGGGCCACTCCTGGGAAGTGAGGAACTGAAAAAGAAAGTGAGTGCTGTAGCTGAGTTTCCTGGAAAAAGTTATTCTCTCTGACCCCCGGTCACCCAGACACCTAACTTCAGAACCAGCCCCTTACACATGCCCAGAACTTCAGACCAGGCAGGAGTTCAGCCCACAGACACCAAGGCACTCCCAGCCTTCTTGGCTGACATAACATCAAGTTAGAAGTGGCCAGGACAGATGTAGTCTGACTAGAACAGATCTAACAGCAGGTGTGTGAGCAAAGCCTGCAAACCTGTTTTCTCATCACATGGAAGCATGACCAGGAAGGTGAACCTGCTCTTAGCAAAGTGACAAAGAACAACTGCACTGGTTCAAGAATTATGCTTTGCCACCCCTCGGGAAGATGTGCCAAGGATTATTTGTCCTTGACAAGAACAACACTGAAAGCCAACTCTGGAGAAGTGAAGGTTCTACCTGAAAATCCCAGCACAAAAGGGTATTCACCATGTGTGAACTTGGAGAAGGGACCAGGTCAGCAATTCCCAAACTGGGTGCCATGGAACAGCAGCTCCTAAGATGTTCTGTGAAAGCAAGTCTGGGAAAGGCTGCCAACCACAGTCCTGTCCTGGAACTCTGTGGTACCCCTCAGGACACTGAAAGTCCTAAGGAATCTCACAGTAAAGAAACATTTCATTTGTCCGGCCCAGCATTTGTTTGAAGTATTTGGCTGAGATCCACCCCTCACAAAACACTATGGATCTGCAGTAAGTGTGAGGCCCCATCTTCTCCTGGCCCTGAGCCTCAGCTTCCTCCCAGCACAATGAGGCAGATGAACTGAGTGTCTCCAAGGTCTTCCTACTCTGCTGTTTTTCCAGGCACAGTCAAAGACTGGCTCCCTTCCCACCTCACTGAAGGTCCTGGGCTTGGACAGCCTACAGGCAGGGGCCATGGTTTGGTGAGGAATGGGATGCCCACCAGGAGCCTGGGGCCACCATGTGTGACTCTTCCTTATCCCCACCCACCTCACCCGGAGTTGTCCAGGTGCTGCACTGCATCTCAAGGGAGCTGGAACCCAGAGGGGCAAGGCCAGCATAAGGAGGGGGTGTCCCATAGTGGTACAGTCCACCTGCCAAACCTCCCTGTTCCTGTGAGGGGCTTCTGGCTTCTCACTGGCAGAAACACACAGGTGAGCTTCCCTGGCCTTAATCGTATTGTTCTAAATTCTGAACAGCAAGTGCTTACCTAACTGAACAGTGCAGGATGGCCTGTTTCTAATCACAGATGCAATAATCACGAGCGTGCACGCCTCCTCAGGAAGCCCCCACACTCCAGGAGCGACTCCAAAGGCACTGAGTCATCTCCCGACACCGACAGCTCCTTCCTCAGAATCTCACACTTACCTCTCACAAACCACACGTCCCACACCCACAGCACCTCATGGCATATATAGACCCTGACCTGTGAACAATTATTCTCACTCAGCCCCCTCCCACATGGTCCAAACAGCTCCAGCTGCTGTTAATTCCAGAGGCAGCCATGCCCGTGCCTGCAGCCAGCCTCTCTCCATTCTATCCAAAGACAGATCCTTATGGGGAGAAACAGAGGCTTCCACTCCCAGAGGAGTAGGAGGAAATCAACAGACCTACTCTGTTCATTTTAAAGCGACGGCCCCGATTCACTTGGTGAGACATCCCACAGTCATTGAAAGCATCCTGAACAAAGCCAGGCTGGGGCTGTGGACCCAGAGTCCTCTTGTCCTCTTGGGTGAAAAAGAAGCCAAACTCACAGAAATGGTCTTACAGTGGCTTCTTGGCGAGTGTGGGACACTGTCATCCTTGGTGAATGCTTGCTTCCCAGCCTGGTTCTTTACCCTAAGGTCATTTCTTTAGGGATGGGGTAGCTGCCCCACCACCTCAGGTCCCCAGCTGACTAGAACTAAAGCCCAGAGGAGGTGCTTCCCAGAGCAGTTTCCTGCCTCCCATGAAACCTTTCTCCCCTCACCAGCATCCCCCTCTAGAGACTGTTGTCAAAGAGAGAGGCCTTCTGGCCTAGGTCAGGGAAATTTGCCTCCCTCTGTATCCTATAGCTGCTCATGGCCCACTCCAAATAAGTTCCACTGGGAAAAATTGTTCATAAGAACAATTTGGTCCTCTCGAAGGCCATTTTTCCAGACCAAACTTGGACCAGGTTAGAAAGTATCTTCTACTCTCAGACTCTGCCCAAGCTTTCAGGGGATGCAGAAATCCCTTGGGAGATCTGGGACCAGGCCCTGTTCTTTGCTGCCACATCTTGGAACCAGGACACATCCCTGCAGGAGGACACAGATGCTGGTGATCAAGGGAAACGACCAGGAAAAGAGAGTTGGTGAAAGAGGGGAAGGAAACCAGGGGAGGCATGCTAATGAGGTGGCAGGTGAGTGGGGAGCCGGCGCAGAGGTGGTTACCTGGGTGAGATGAGGGTTGGGGTTGAACCCACACTGGTTGCAGACCTTGTTGTGACACTGGGTGCAGGTGTTGAAGTTTGGCTGGCTGGGGGTCGACGTGAGGTCCGAAGTCTTGCATATGGGACATAGCGTGCTGCTGGGAAGGGGAGCGATCTGAGGGACGGAGTAGGGTGATGTAGGGGTGCTGCCTCTGTCCGGTGACACTGAGGGGGACCGCCCTGATCTCTGTGTCCTGCTGTCTACCTGCAGTGTCCTGCGGGGACCATCAGCCTCCTGGCCTGCTGGTCCCTGTGCCCTTGTCTCCCGGGGGCTCTCTTGGCCAGGAGTGGTAGCAGAAGCTTGTTTCGGAGTTGGGGAAGCTGCTCTCTGGCTACCCAGGGGTTCCTTGGGGTCCAGTCTCCGGGAAGTGCTGAAATGACATTGAAAATGACTGTTAGAGATACATCTTAAAGAATCAGCTTGCAGAGGTCTCTACCAAGCTAGGTGACCCTGCCAAGCCCCATCACTACCCTCCTCCTCCTGCCCAGAAGAATCATCATGGCCCTCATTTGCTGTGTCCTGTGCTGAGCCTTGACAAGCATCTCCAACTTGAACCCTTGGCACCAGGGCATGAGGCAGGATCAGAACATGTCCTCTCACATTCTGATAAAGTACAGACTCTGATTCAGTAGATCTGAGTAGGGTCTGCATTGTAAGAAGCTCTAAGGTGATGCCAGTACTCTGGTCTGAGGCCCATGCTTTGAGTACCAAGATTCTAAACCTACACATTAGAAATACCTGGATGGGCCAGGTATGGTGGCTCAAGCCTGTAATCCCAGCACTTTGGGAGGCCGAGGTAGGCAGATCACTTGAGGTCAGGAGTTCAAGACCAGCCTGGCCAACATGGTGAAACTCCGTCTCTACTAAAATTACAAAAATTAGCTGGGCTTGGTGGTGACACCTGTAATCCCAGCTACATGGAAGGCTGAGGCGGGAGAATCACTTGAACTCGGGAGGCAGAGGTTGCAGCGAGCAAAGATCGTGCCACTGCACTCCGGCCTGGGCAAGAGAGTGAGACCCTGTCTTAAAAAAAAAAAAAAAAAAAAGAGGGCCGGGCACGGTGGCTCATGCCTGGAATCCCAGCACATGCAGGAGATCGAGACCATCCTGGCTAACACAGTGAAACCCCGTCTCTACTAAAAATACAAAAAATTAGCCAAGTGTGATGGCGGGCGCCTGTAGTCCCAGCTAGTTGGGAGGCTAAGGCAGAAGAATGGTGTGAACGCAGGAGGTGGAGCTTGCAGTGAGCCGAGATAGTGCCACTGCACTCCAGCCTGGGCTACAGAGTGAGACTCTGTTTCAAAAAAAAAAAAAGAAAGAAATAGCTAGGGTGATTTTTAAAATTCTGACTCCCAGACTGCACCCCGAATTATATAAAAATCAAATTATATAAAAATCTGTGGAGGCAGGACCCTGGCATTAGTATTTTTTCTTCCCTAGGTGATTCCAACATGAGCCCAAGTTACTATACTGAGATACTATACTGGCCAATCTGTTATATCCTGCCTTGAACCCCTTCAGAGGCTGAACCTAGATCGCTGGGGATGGGGGATACTGCAATGCCTAGTTAATGCCATCTCCTGTACCAGGGGCCTGCCTCTACACAAAGGAGCCTTCCTTCTGGTAGCCCTCTGGCAAGCCTGATGCCAGACCAAATCTACCAAGATGGGATAAAGTGTTACTTTTCCACTAGTGTGAAGTTGGGTAGGGTTAGAGGTCCAGGATCCAGCCTTGAGGAACCACTGAGTGAGATCCAATGAGTCTAACCCTCACCTCCATCCCAATCTGGCTGCAGAGGAGCCAGCAGTGTTGGGTAGTTCCATGAGGTAGAAAGCAAATTGTCAGGCTAAAAGTCAATCATATATTCCTTCTCCTTTGACCCAACTTAAGTTCATCTCTGCAATTTTCCTCTTTTCTAGTTTGAAAGAGGATGAGCACAAAAAGCCAAAGGCAATGCTTTATACTGCTTCCCTGAAATTCTCTTCCTGCTTTAGTCTGTACTCATTGGGGTGAATGCCGGCACTCAGGAAACAGGGCTGACTTGCTGAGAGCAGTGTGGAGGCCCAGCCTGTGCAGGAGACTGCCCTGGTAGCTTCTGCCTCAGTTCCCCAGGGTCTGACTGACAGGAGAAGATTCTAAGTTTGCTGCCCCCATCTGAAGGCCATCTGCTTGCCAAAAAGAGTTAAGAGCCAACTGGTAGGGCATCTTAGGACAAGTCATTTCAGGTGGAAGATGAGGAGCCTGCCTGGGGACACTGACCCCAAGATACTTTGCAGTCCTTCCTCCCTTCTGAGGAACTGGCAGGTAGAGAAACATATCCTTGATCTAATAAAGACTCTCCTAAAAAAAAGAAACACTAGGCCGGTGGCTCACGCCTGTAATCCCTGCACTTTGGGAGGCCGAGGCGGGCGGATCACGAGATCAGGAGATCGAGACCATCCTGGCTAACACAGTGAAACCCCGTCTCTACTAAAATAAAAAAAATTAGCCGGGCACGGTGGCAGGCGCCTGTAGTCCCAGCTACTCGGGAGGCTGAGGCAAGAGAATGGTGCGAACCCGGGAGGCGGAGCTTGCAGTGAGCCGAGATGGCGCCACTATACTCCAGCCTGGGCGACAGAGTGAAGACTCCGCCTCAAAAAAGAAAAAAGAAAAAAGAAACACTATTACAGTGTTTAACATTCCTGTCATCAGCCATCAATAGCATAGACCTAACCATCCAGTCACAGACCCACCAATTTCTTCTTCAGCAAGACAACCAGAGTTTGAGTCCAACCCCTCAGGGCCATCTTTGCCACCAGCTATGAAGCCTAGCATGGTGGTGGCCATAGCATCTGTGGCCCACATTGGGAACCTGGGCTTCTCTGAGCCCTTTCAGTATACTAATTTCTAGGTATCCTAAAGAAATATTTCCCACTTGTCCAAATTAAGTTTCATTTTTTACTTAAATTATTTGGGACTGGAGTTTAAAGGCAGCCCTTGAAAGCAAATCAGAAGATGTTGAGAGCCTTTTATAAACATGTGAATGGGCTGTGGTCCCCACCCCTCTCCAGGCTGCACAAGCCTTCTGAGAAATGTAGCCACTTCTATTGTATTTGTGTTGCCCAATAAGTAGCAGGCAATCTATATACACAGCGACTTTTTAAATCAATGTTGTATCACAGTGTAGTCTTTCTGGAGACATTTTTTATGAAGATTAGGGTTCTAAACTCAGCCGTGGTGACAGTGAATAAACAAACAATGTCTTCTGCACCCAGCAAAGTCTGCATGCGAGGGCAATGTTCCTGGCATTGATGTGTGCCCACACGCCTCATGGTAGCCATCATGACACCTGGAGATCGCAATATATGCCCATGGTCTTTGTACTCTCCTGTCTTCCTAGATGCTTCCTTATACCCTCTCCTTGATCTTCAAGCTTCCAAACACCTCCTTCTGTCTCCTAACTGCCACTGATGACCTGCTCACCATATCACAAAGAAAGTTGGACCCACCAGAAGAAACCTGCACAACTTCAGCCTCCCTACTCCTGTCCCCCAGTGTTCACCTGCCTCCTGATCCCAAGGCCCACTTCTCACCTTCACAAATTCTCCCCTCTCCTTCATCATCCATTTCCCCCTCTCTATTGGATCATTTCAATTATCATACAAACAAGCTTCTCCCATCCTAAAAAACAAAAAAGTAGAAGCAGCAGCACTTTGCTCCACTACTCCTTCAGCTACTGCCCCATTTCTCTCCTCTTCTTTACAGCAAAACTCCTTAAAATAATTATCTCCACTTGCCTGACAAGGTGACTTGCACCTGTAACCCCAACTTGGGAGACTGAGGCAGGAGGATCTCTTGAGCCCAGGAGATCAAGGTTACAGTGAGCTAGGACGATGCCACTGCGCTCCAGCCTGAGTGACAGAGCAAGACTCTGTCTCTAAAATAAATAATAAAAGAGCTGCCTCCACTCACTACCTCCCACTCCTCTCCTCTCTCCCTCTCAACCCACCCCTTCAACCTGGCTTTTGCCCATCACTCCACAGACATTCCTCAGGTCACAGTCGGTAGGGACCTCCACATCGTCAAATCCGACAGTCACATCTCAGTTCCTCATCTCATTTGACCATCAGCAGCACTTGATCCCAGATGATCACTCCCTCCTTCCTGAAATAAGTTCTCTATTTGCCTTCGGGAATACCACCTTCTCCTGAATTTCCTCCTCCTGCCTGGCCACACTTTTCTAATCTCTTTTGCAGGTTCTTCCTCATATGCCAACCCCAGAACCCCACTCCTTACACTGGAGAGACCCAGGGCTCAGTCTTTACACAAATGTGCTTCTGTGAGTACTCACAATCCCTAAGTCTCAAGACTTACCCAGTCTCAGGGCTTTAAATCCACTTTCCACTGATACCCACTAAATGTCTATCTCTGGCCCAGAACTCTGCTCTGAACTCTTCACCTGTTTAACTGCCAACTCCACATCTTCACAGAGATGCCCTGTAGGCATCTTCGCCTTGACACACCCAAGCTGAGCCCCTGATCTTGCCCCTAAATGTGGGCCTCCTAGTCTCCCGCTTGGTGCCGTCTCTGCCTCCCTTACTGTCTCATCCTAAGTCAATCCAGCAGTATATCTTGTTAGTTTCTGAAGCTGGCCACTACTACTTACACGCTCCTCCTCACCCCACCTGGTTTGAGCCATTCTCAGTTGCCAGGATAAGGCTTTGTGTGTGTGTGTGTGTGAGAGAGAGAGTCTCCTTCTGTTGCCCAGGCTGGAGTGCAGTGGTGCAGTCTTGGCTCACTGCAACGTAGCTGGGACTACAGGTGCACACCAGCACACTTGGCTAATTTTTGGAATTTTTAGTAGGGTCAGAGTTTCGCCATGTTGGCCAGGCTGGTCTCGAACTCCTGACCTGAAGTGATCCACCTACCTCGGCCTCCCAAAGTGCTGGGACTACAGGCATGAGCCACTACGCCCAGTCCCGCGATAAGGCTTTAAATACACAAGTCAGGGCCGGGCGCGGTGGCTCAAGCCTGTAATCCCAGCACTTTGGGAGGCCAAGGCAGGCGGATCACAAGGTCAGGAGATCGAGACCATCCTGGCTAACACGGTGAAACCCCGTCTCTACTAAAAATACAAAAAACTAGCCAGGCGAGGTAGCAGGCGCCTGTAGTCCCAGCTACTCAGGAAGCTGAGGCAGGAGAATGGCGTAAACCCAGGAGGCGGAGCTTGCAGTGAGCTGAGATCGCACCACTGCACTCCAGCCTGGGTGACAGAGCAAGACTCCGTCTCAAAAAAAAAAAGAAAAAAAAAAAAAATACACGAGTCAGGCTTTGCTTGACTTCTCTGCTTTGCTTAAGCCCTGCACTGGCTTCCTTTACCTCCCAAAAGAA